TTAAATGCTTCTGATTGGCCATTGCGTTCCAGAAATCAACACATATGTCTGTGATTGGCTACATCGCTCAACGCTGTAACCATGTTATGAATAGAAACTCTGGCCTGTAAATCGTTTCTATTTTGTTGTAGTTGTTCTTGTTGCTTTTCTGCAAGAGATGAATAAAAATCTTTTAGTTTTTATGTTTTATTCATAGATATTTCTAGTTTGCGGGAGTCCCGCGAATCGTTTTATTCTCCCGTAACCCGCACACACAGAGTGAGTGCATTACCGCCCGCGCGCGCGCTCGGCCATCAGATCTATGATGCGTCTTCAGATGTTTAATTAGATTGCTGGTGTTAAACGATGTACTTTCTTTCCCTCCTCTCAACACCTTAGCTGAACATAACTCACAGTCTGCCTTGCTGTTGTCATCATCCCTTATCTTGAAATGAGCCCAAACCGCCGACATTATACTTTCCTATGCCTCAGTTCACCTCGACAAAGCACTCGCGGCGGCCAGTTTTGTTTTGCAAAATGTACGTGGTATCGGTGCGTGGTATCGGCGAATTTTTATGAGTACGAGTACGAGTATATTAGGACAGTATCGGCCCGATCCCCGATGCCAGTATCGGTATCGGGCCATCCCTAGTTAAAACGTGTTGATGTATGTAAGATACAGAAATAAACTATTAAAATTAATTCCAAAGCGGTGTTTTGGAATTTTTTTAAATACACGAGTCCTCTCAGTTTCATATTCAAGGCTGCATGAAAACACTTGGTGGTTCCTGTTTGTCTTGCAGCTACAGACTGCTGGGAAGTGTGTGAATGCAGGCCGAGCCCCAGTGTCCCTTCTTTAAATAGCTCTTTTTTGGCTAAGACTTTTGCTTACGGCCATACCACCCTGAACACGCCCGATCTCGGAAGCTAAGCAGGGTCGGGCCTGGTTAGTACTTGGATGGGAGACCGCCTGGGAATACCAGGTGCTGTAAGCTTTTGCTTTATCTTCACTAATACACTTTATGGCTCGGCTCCCATGGTTGTTCCTGCTTTATGCTTTTAAATTCAATTGCTTCATTTATTTGTCTTTCATTTCGCTTTCTTTCTGGCTTCTGTCTGCTTTCGGTGTGCAAAGGACAGTTCAGCCTCAGTCATTATTTCTTCCTCCTCCAGGGGGCGATCGACCGGCTTTTCTCTCTCTCAGTCTACAAGCAACACAGAACTCGAGCGCTTGTTCTTTTCTAACCCGCACCAAAGCACCTTTCCTCAGCTTCAATTAGAGCAGATGTTCCTAAACTTTTTTTGTCAGCCGAACGCTCAGATTTTAACTTAATATTCAAATTAATATTTCAATAATTACACACACATTCGCATGTTCATGGTTTTCTAACGTTGGGAACAGTCAGAAGAGACATGCAAGTAAACAGATGGAATATTGAATCTTTTCTTTATTTTGGGTTTACTTGTTTAATTTTATTTGGTTTTATTTTAATATAGGGCTGTGAGCTATTGATATTATTATTATAAAATAGTTTTAACTCTAATTATAAAAATAAAGATATAAATATGGTGTATATTAGGTACAACTGTCCTGTGAAATACTTAAAAAGGAGTATTTGATACGCCTAATTAATGGCAAAATAATTATTTGATTTTACAAGTTATTGTTTACAAGTTATATAATTAAAAGTTACAAGCACTATAATTCAATTTTTGTCATGAGTTTGTTGTCTACTTTATGAATGAAAGGGTGATGTTCCTGAGAGCACAACTGATGATTCGACAAACTTTAGTTTACGGGTATTTGCGTGACAGAGAGAAAATGGAAGTATCCTAAATGGGACCAAACCTTATACTAGTAATCTCAGTTTCAAAGATAAAGCCACTGACATAAATAATGCGGTTGTTAGCGTGGATTTTAGTGTTAAAAAATAACTCGCTAAGCATTTTTGTGTAAAGTTATCCAGTTTCACAACTTTTACTAGTTGTATGAACAGTGAAAACTTAATGGCACCATAGATGCGCAGTTGGAGAGGGACGTGTGTGATGCTGCGCTTTTTTGGAGAAAGGACTAGAGCGCATTGTGTCACCTAGTGTTCCGGGGACATGGAGACATTTTGGGGCGGCCAAACAGTGGGAATTTCCTAGCCATTATTGAGCTGCTGCCAGTATGACCCTCTGCTGCAAGATCAAACGGCCCAAGGGGTCAATTAAATACCTCAGTCCCTCTAGCCAAAATAAGCTCATTTATATTTTGTCACAGCGTGTTCAGCAGGAGATTACGACTGAAATCAAGCCCTGTCCAAGCGATACCAACTTGGTCAAGTTTACAGATATGTCACCACCATAGTGAGGAACACATTGGACATAGCTATCGATATTAAAGTAGCTGAAGCTTTTCTTGGATTTCAGAAAACATCTGACAGATCTGCAAGTGAACTGGAAAACAAAACCCTCGACAGAATTACGAAAAATGACCTCGATATTTCTCATGTCGTGGGCAGGGATACGACGGAGTCGGAGTGGCCAATATGAGTGGCGTCTATGCGGGAGGGCAGGCCAGGATCAGGGGAAAAGAGACACTTGCAACGTATGTACACTGTGCAGCAAATAACCTGAACCTAGTGCTGAATGATGCAGTAAAAACATTCCAGAAGTGTCACAGTTCTATGACACCATCAAACATTTGTATGTGTTTTTTGGCCACAGTATTAAAAGGTGGGCCATGCTCACTGGCATCGACTCCACAGAGCCCTCACTCGGGTGTCACACTGAAGCGACTATGTCCCACTCTTTGGTCCTTTAGATATGAATCCATTGTTGCTATTCGGTACAGATATGTGGATATAATGAAAGCACTGGCAAAAATATATCTGACAAGTGCCAAGAAGGATGAGCGTGGTAAAGCAGCAGGAATAAAGAAAATAAATTAAGAAATTCCCTTTCATTTTTCAAGTGATTCTGCAGACTAAAATTTTGGAGAGTGTGAATACTGTATCTACAATGCTTCAAGCTACAAACGCTGACATGCAGAAGGCCGTGACATTGCTGAACAACACCATTCAGAGCTTGTCTGAGTATCGTGGCGCTTTTGACCAGGCAAAGATGAAGGCACAGACGCCTGCAGAAAAATGGGGATCTCAGACAACTTTCGAAAATGTGAGAGTCAGAAGAATGACTAGTTGTGTGAAGAAGAGCGCCTGTCCAACACAGAACGTTATATAACAGCATGCGAGCAACCTCTGACATGTTTGAGGCCCTTCACCCCATGACTCTTCAGCTTGCAAGTGATGATTAACTGTATGTCAAGGCAAAACATCTGTGACCACTACAACAGGGACATTTGATTTACATTTCCGGCACAACTACTGTCATTCAGGGCCTGTTTTAGAGCAAAAAATGCTCAGCAGTCCTCAATCTATCAACTTGCCAAGATGTTGATTGTGGACTCCATAACATCCACCTACGGTGAGGTGTGCACTGCTCTCCTTTTTGACATTACCTGTGACAGTGGCAGCAGTATAAAGTTATGCCACTGATTACAACATAAACGTGGTTTATGTGGACATTTCCTGAGGGTTTAAAATGGCGTGATTAAAATGGCATGAAAAACATGCTAAACAATGTTTTATTAAAAATGTAAAAATGCAGAAAGTTTTCTGTGATGGTTAGGGTTTTGTCTTGGGGAATAGCATACAGTTTGTCCAGTATAAAAACCATTATGATAATGAGTAGACCAACGTCTGTGTGTGTGTGTGTGTGTGTGTGTGCGTGTGTGTGTGTGTGTGTGTGTGTGTGTGCTCAGTATGTTTAGAAATACAGCTTCATCTAGCCTATTAAAAAAGAGCCTCTGGCCCTGTCCCAAATGGCACACTTCATGTGGACTTTCTGTCTCGTGGACTTAAATTGCGCGTGCTCGCCGAGTCTACGAGTCCGTAGGCCGTCCCATTTAGCATTTTAACGCTCTGAAGTGTGCTCAGCAGCGCCCCCTTTGTACCCTTGAAGCGGTCTTCCGCGAAGCCCGGATAGATGCAGGCTCCACGCACTTTAACTACCCAGGAATCCTTGCGAAAGGCCAATCAGACAACGGATGGGAGGAGATTTCGCTCACGGACAATTGTTAACATGGCTGAGAAGAAAATATTTAAGTGTAATCAGTGCGGTTTTTTATGACAAGTTTATACAAACATTGTGATCATCGACCAGTGGTTGATGTCTCAAACATAGGCTAATAATAGCTAGCTGAATAATACGATCGCATTATGATTCATTAAATAAATAGAACAGAATGTCAGGGCTTTACTGAGTCATATGTAAACACAACAACAATAGGCAGCATTTTTCCCCGAACCTGTAGCTCCTGTCCATAACAACAATCAGACCGTCTTCCTGTTTCCGGCGTGACGATCGAGTCTGTCCCAAAAATACCTCTCAATGCGCCCTCGCGGACTCGCGCTAAGGGCCCTATAGGTCTGCACTACATGACGTCACCGAAGTGTGGACTCTGAGGAAGTCCACAAGTCCGGAGTGTGTCATTTGGGACAGGGCCTCTTTCCGTTCATCATGTTATTCTTCTTCCCGCTTTATTTTGTACAGTAAAGGGAGGGTTCACTTTTATCACTCTCTCTAATATACCATTTTTTAATTTTATTTCGCTTCACTATTAATGGTTAAAACGTGTTCATGTATGTAAGATACAGAAATAAACTATTAAAATTAATTCCAAAGTGGTGTTTTGGGCCCCCTCTAGCGTCCTGGTGGGCGCATGCCTTGTGAGTGCACATAACCATTTTTTACACAGTACAACACGGCGCTTTTTAAACGAAATAATGAGGAAGGTGTAAATTAAATATGCAATGCTAAACACATTAATCTAAAAACGTAAATAAAAAAATAAAAATAATAGTAATGATGAAAAAATGTGTAGCCTACTTCACTGTATCATTTAGTAGTGGATTGTGGGCGTCATTATCAAATCGAAAGTATCGCGAAGTGAAAGTGAATAGCGCGAGCCACCTGCACGTCTGCTGCTAATTGTACCGTGATCTTTTCCTCTGAAAATAACGCAGAATTGCTTTCATTATGTCCAGAGCTAAAGTACTGAAGATAAACTCTGATAATGCTGTCAGGGTAAGTTCATCTCTATAGATTTTATAGTATTTCCACTGTCAACAGAGTCGAGCAAATTTAATGTAAACGCGTTTGCGTCTGTTTGAGCTCTGACAGTAGTATGGCTCCTAAGAAGATTTAAAGGGCTCTTTGTTGATTGTTTAATGATTGTTGAAAATAAAACACTACTGGAAATTGCGCTGTTTATATGTAAAAAAAAAAAAAAAAAAACCTGAGTCACACTTCCTCATCCACGAATGTTGAAAGTGAAAGTAAACATGGCCATTACCCGAAGGCGCGATCATTTTCATGGACAAAGACAACCTGAATATATCACTTTTAATTGTTCATCTGTGTTACCTTTATCCAGATAGAAAACTACCGCCAGTCACTGTATAAGCAGGTATGAATTCACTTGAAATAATACACACATAGGCTATTTGAGATCGTGCACTGTGGCTGTCTGTGCTTACAATATTCATTGTATTGCTAGGCAGAAGAGCTGTTCTCCAATCACATACCTTTGAAGATCTCACAGCTTGACAAACTGCTGAAGGTACTTTTTTCCCCTTTCATTTGGCAGATGCTTTTATCCAAAGTGAGGTACAATGAGTACCTTTAGGTCTGTATGTGTCCTTGGGAAATTAACTCATGACCTTGGTTTTGCTGCCCATGGTTACCAATTGAGAAATTTTACTCCAGCAACAAGTGAAATGAAAAAATGCTTCTCTTTTATGGTTTTAGGGGGATGAGTTCAGTATCACTGACCTCTCGTCTCTCCATGCACCCCTGGACATTCCCATTCCTGACCCCCCTGCTGCAGAGGAGGAGGTTTGCATCTGGATCAGGATTCATAATAATTCTAGAAATAGATGTCCCTTACCCTAACATTTATTAAAATATTTTAATAGGAGATGGAGACAGATAAAAATGAAGATGATGAGAAAAAGAAGAAAGGTAATTTTGCACACAAACACACACACACACACACACACACGTAAGTGAGATAACTGGTTAGTCGTGATCTCGATGATGCTGATGAGGGTGGAGAATAAAGGCTTTGTCTTGGCCAGGAGTGCCAATCCTGTTCCTGCAGATCCTCTTTCCTGCAGAGTTCAGTTCCAACCCTGCTTGAACACACATGTCTGTAAATATCAAATGTTTTTGAAGATCTTAATTAGTTAGTTTAAGTGTGCTTAATAAGCATTGTTGAACTTTACAGAAAGGCATGTGCCCTTCAAGTAGAGGCAGAAAATAGTGCAATTAGTTCCGAGCACATGATTGACTAAGCAAAGTCGTAATTACAAGTGGGAAACTTAATTCTTAAAGGGGTCATATAATGCCATTTTTGTACAAGCTAATATGATTCTTTAGGGTCTAAATTAAAAGTTTGTAATATACTTTAATTAAAAATTCTCATTAGTATTGTAAGAAAACACTTATTTTACCTGGTCAAAAACAGCTCTGTTTTCAGCACGCCGTTTCAGTGCATATGACTTTAAATGATCATGAGCTTTGCTGACTCCGCCCCTCTGTTCTATGCGTACACCAGAGCTCTGGCGTACACCATTTGTAACTCAATAACCATAACGCGTTGTTCAGTATAAACGTGGGATTATGAATTATATTGAGAACGTCATACATAGAAAACATGCCGTATTGTACCCTGAGTGTAAACCTTAGACACATTCATTGTGAAGCGTGCAGCTAGCTTTTTGCAAAGATTAATATATTAATATAAAGTTTAATAAAACGTTACACTCACTTCCGTTCTTCTGGAGATTCAGCAGGAACACGAATATCGGGTAGCAGCTACCGATCCATTTTTCATGAGCAGCAGCTTAGCAAATCCAGCTTTATACTGATCCTCGTCTATAAAGCAGTCTGGTGAGAAATGATTCGCGCAAATATGAGAGCATTGACGTTGCTTGTGGGGAATATTCCCTTCGAAAACAAACTCAGCCACTGCGTCTTCAGCGGTTCGGATTTAGGAACATTAAAATGACTGTGTTCGTTATTACACCCAAGAACAGAACACCACAATCGCTTAGACGCCATTCTGCTCATAGACAGTGCTCCAGCATATCAACAATGACCGCGCCGGTCCGCGCAGACTATGATTGACAGCTCTCTCATGGAGCTGATCTCACCCGCGAGGGCGGGTCTGTGTTGAGACGCTCCTGTCAATCAACAATCGTGGGAGGGGCTTCCGAGCGTGTGACGTCACACGGTCGAACGGCTCGATTTGAGGCAGGGGAAAACATATAAGGAGATTAAAACAAAACCACTGGATGGATTTTTATCATTATATGATGGTTGTGTACAGACACTGCCAACAAACATTTCAGTACAATCAACTTGTAAAAGTGCATGCACCATTATATGACCCCTTTAAAATATTATTCCTATCAATTATAGAATTAATAATGGACAAAGCACAGATTTTGAATTTTAGTACATTTAACAAAATGTCCCAACTTCTCTGGGAATGGGGTTGTACTTTGTTCCCTTCTTCATCTGTACACCATCTAAATCTTGTCCTGTACTTCATCTGACCAGCACAAATCAAACAAGTGTTACTACCAAAAGCAATGCACCACATGTCGGAGTGCTGCCGTACACTGACGTAGGTGGGGTACTTTTGGGGGATTTTTTTATACCATGGTAAAATTACTTTGAAAATAAGTGAAAAGAGAAAATGAAAAGCATTCATGATTATTGAATGAAATATTATTGAAATATGGTAGAATATTGAAGCAGTCCGACAGGTGTGATACCAGTGAATGCTGGTTTAGAGAAGAAAAAAAACACACTGGTGAAGTTAACAGCACCAAAAATACCCGGTATAACAAAAGAGTATGACTGGGGAATCTGCTGAAGAATGGGTAAAAGGGTTATGCACTGATTAGATGAACATGTATGTTTACCAGAGTGATGGTAGTGTAAGAAGAAATGTAGATAAAATAGGAAGTGCTTATGCTTGTCAAAGCTTAACTGTAAATAATGGAATATTGTTGTAACGTTACATTTTCTTGTGTCAGCTCCCAAGTGTGGCTTCATCAAAGGAAATGAGCGGATTGTGAAGTTGCTGGATATTGTAAAACCAGAGATAATGGCTCTGAAGGAGACCTGCATCACTGTAAGTGGGCAAAATTGACTCGTAGATACGTTTTCAGCATTTTCCAAGACTGTAGTTTGGCAGCTTTTTGCTTTCCTTTTCTTCAGGTCTCTTGCTGGATTGCTCATCTGATTCCAAAAATTGAAGATGGAAATGATTTTGGAGTTGCAATTCAGGTTATTAACCCTTAATTCTTCATTGAAGATGGCTGGTTTATAGACAGTGTTATAGACTGTGGTCGACTATGGCACATAATGTTTTTGTTTCTGAATGGTTAACATGACTGGTTGAAATTTTAGGAAAAAATCCTTGAGAGGATTACTGCTGTGAAGACCAAGGTGGAGGGTTTTCAGACCAACATTAACAAGTATGCGCAATTCCTAACTATTTCAGTTCATTGATTATGCATACTATGGAAGCTTGGTTCAGGCATGCAACAAAAAAAAGGAAAAAAGTAATTGCACCTTTAATTTTATAATTGTGACTTTTTTTCTTGCAACTGCGAGAGAAATAAAATCAGATTTTTGAGATATAAACTTGAGAAAAAAAAGTCCACATTTAGCTTTTTAATTTTTTTTATTCTGTGGCGGAAACAAGCTTTCATTGTTTACATGTTTTACGTTGCCCTCCTTCATTCCTGTTGTCATGTTGGTAATCAAAGTGTGTTTATCTGCAGGTACTTCTCAGAGAGAGGTGATGCAGTGGCCAAAGCTTCCAAAGACACACATGTGGTGAGTGACCCATCATCCAATCCACTTATCAGTGTAAACTTTTTTGTATAGCTGCAGTTATTAAATAGGGCTTTCAATATCATATTCTCAGGTTTTTTTTAGTATTTTCAGTAGATTTTTAGTATTTTCACGCACATTAAACATCACCCTCCCCCACCTTTTAAGAATATGAAAAGGCGTGTACACAGCAATGAAATCCTTTTTAATTATTAAAATGTATATTATTTATTTCATTTAATAAATACGTTTTATTTGAAGTTTGCTTTAAAATAATACATGATTTGCAAATTAACTGTTTGGGGGTAAATCACCAGTGGCCTGTTGCATGAAGCTAGCTGAACAAACTCTGAGTTTCAGAATAGATTTAGAGTTGACAAAACCATACGAATCCAACCTGAGCAACAAAATCAGCCCCTATACCCTCATTTACTATTCCCTACATTAATCCGCTCTTGAAGGAGTGAATGAAAACGAGTGAGCGAATTTGGACACCGACTGTGCTGAAAGGCCAGCTGCTCTTTCATAGTTTGTGCTTGCTGTTTAAAAATCATTTGAAACTTAGCAAACTGGCAGCTCCAGTAGTAATGAAAAGACTTATCTTGAACTCTTTCATGGAAACTAGCATGTATAAAGCGTAATTAAACAGTTTAATTCACAGTGCATTATGGGTATTCTCTAGCTGTTGAGTGTTCATCCGTTGTACGCTCATTATTGTGGTGCATTATTGGATTGAGTGTGTGCACTCGATAGTGCACTTGTAGTGGTTTTGCACCTACAAATGGCTGTCCCTTCAAAAAACAGTGCCCTATTTAAGTGTATGGGGGCGATTTCGGACACAGCCCCCCTGGTTTACATCAGGTTCAGCGGTCTTACAACATTGGTTATATAAACGTTCAACTCGGGGTTTGATGCAGAGTTTGTAATTAACCCTGGAGCACGTGCACCTGAACATGTGATGTGCCGAGAACATCCAACCACATGGATCATGGAGAGTGTGAGTTTGATTCTCTTCTCGCGAGTCAAACCAAATTCATTTAAGATTAAGCGATCATTATGAAAAAAATCATGAATTTAAATGCATACAAGCCAGGAATAAAGCAAAAGTTTGAGAAGGCAGTTGAAAGGAAATGTCTGACTATATCAATGCAAGTTTAAATAATTGAAATTTAAATAAATATATATATATTCACAAAGAGCTCAAAAGAAAAATGTGTAAGTTTAAACAAAAAACAAAATGCTTTATATATTATTTATATTATATAGTATGTGTATGTATATATTTATATTAATTTAAATGCAAAGTTTAATATTGTCAATTTTGAAAAATATATAATTTATAATGTAAATATAATAATTAGCAGCAAGACTGGCAATTTTGTCTTTAACATTTGTTCACTGTAAACTGCTTTAATTTGGAGCAAGAGATACAATTGCTCTATTGCATCGGATACATGTCACTTTACTCACAACTGATTGGTCAGTTTTGGTTTTGCTCAAACTTGCCTGTACTAGCAACTGAAACTGGCTTCGTGGAACAGGCCTCAGATTTACACATTGACATCATATAGTTTCAAGTCACTTTCATACTCTTTTTGTGTAATAATAAAGGACATGTTCTTTTGATAGATGGATTATCGCTCTCTGGTGCATGAGAAGGATGAAGCAGCATATTCTGAGATCAGAGTGATTGTGCTTGATATACGCGGATTCTACGTGAGTTTACATGTATTTATTTAGCAAACAGCTTCTAAATGAGAAACGCTACAAAACAAGTGAAAGATATGGCCTTTATGAATGAATCACGATAATTGTGGAAACGGCTGTATATTCAGATTTCTGTTGTTTGTACTCAGGCTGAACTATATGACGTCATCAGCAAGAACCTGGAGAAAGTGACAAACCCCAAAGGAGAAGAGAAGCCATCCATGTACTGAGACAGATACTTACTGGGACCTTAATATACATACAGTTGTACAACTAGCCCAGTTTTAAGAATTTCTCATTTCTTTTCCTCATTTTTGACATTCTAGATACAGTAGTTGCATGACACTTTTGACAGTAGATGCATCTTTTAAATGGGTTTGTTACTAAACTTGTTAAATTAGTCACAGTGGTAGTTGAATTCAAAGCTACATGTACATCTATTTCAGCATATACAAAATTAAGGAAAACCTAATAGCAAATTCACTTGTAGGACTGTTCTTAAAGCAAAAAAAAAAAAAAAAAAAAAACATTAAAACCAACAATGATTTCACAAAAGATCCTGTTTCTTTATCTACATAATAACACTTCAGGAATATAACACAAAATGCTGTTATACAATGAATTCCAACACAGTCCAGTTCATTTTATTTGTTTTATTGTAACAAGCAACAAATGTTTACAAAACCATTTTGGATCACTTAAAGAATAAAAGAACTAATGTGGAAAAACTCCCCTCATGAAATGAAAATGCCTCTTTAAAAAAAAAAGAAGTGATCAATTCTTCCATGAAACAGGAACATAATTTGTACATTTATTTTCTGTAATGTGCTACAGGTTTCTCAAACTTCTGGTCCTTCTCCTCCTGGAATCAACTGGAAAACAGCAGAAACACATGGTTTCGTCATATATAACAAAGTGACGTGCCATGTTGATTAGTGTTCATTACTACAATTTTTAATTGTGGTGAGTTTTGGTAATGATATGAAATGGAATACATGGTCCAAATAATTAAAACAAACCGCATTTTGACAGATGTAACAAATCAATCAAACAACGTGACATTTGAAATGGGTTAATAACTAGTCTTTCCATAACCTTTATAGATCTAGGCAAGTATTTCTGTTAATTATTATGTTTTGTTTTACAGGTCCATATAAAAGAAAATGACTCCGTATCATTAGCTATGTTTGCAAGTTACAAATTTAACTTAAGCGCAAAATTGGAATATCACATAAAACATTTGTGAATAAAGCACCGTTTTCATCCAATGTGTTCAGGAGAACAAAATTGTCTTCCTAGGACATTGGTGCAAAAATATCTGCAATAATAATGGAAATTGCTGCAATTGGAGAAGAAACGGTGGCTCTTTTTTTTTCATTCATCAGAAAATGACTTGTGCCTCATGATATGCAGACTAAACGAATAGCACGAAATAAACATCAGAAGGTATGTACATCGGTTTTCAAGTTGAAGTCCACCTACTTTAATCAACTAACTCCTGTCTGGTTTGTTTGTCAGACAAAATGGCAGATTCGGCCTTATGATTGGTCAGGTGGCCTGTCAATCAAACTCCCAACAAAGGGTGAATTGAGTGCATAGGTTTTTGAATACGCATTTTTTTTACATGTATGCGCATCTTGGCATTTCCATCCAGGGTTTTTTCCAGCGTGAATAAAAATAGGTGGATGGAAACAGATATTTTTCCTTGTTTTCATTTAGTGAAAACTGATAAACTGAAACAAAACTGTCAAAAGACTCAAATGACCAAGCTCAACTGAATCCTAACAGTTGGTTGTCAGTGTAAATTTGGTGCATTGCGACTATCTTCAATTTGCATGCTGATGGAATCATTATCAAGTGACTAACAGATTAAATTGGAATTACAGAATAACAAATCGGTAAAATTAAAGAGACAGCGTTCTTCAGGGCTTCAATGTTTGATAAATTCAGGTTACATATAAAAAAAAAAAAAAAAAAAAAAAAAAACTTGCATAAGAGCTTTACTCATATCACCCATATGCAAATGTTGTCAATGAAGTGTGGATTGATATTTAAAGATGATGATTTAAAGAAGAACTCAAGGATCATACCATTGTGATGTTATTGCCATTGAGCAGAATCTGATCCAGTTTTGTGATTCTTCTTCCCTCTGGAGTGATTTCACTGTGACACAACAACAACTTTAGTTATGGCTCAATAACAAATAATGTTCAAGATGAAAAATAAAGTACGTTTTCAGAAATGTAAATTTACTACATTTTTGCTAAATGATTATCGAATTACATACTTGATTTCATCATTCTAAAAAATGTGGGACCACATGAAAAGAGGTATATTTTCCTTACACCTTGAAAACAATGTACACTTCATTTTCAAAAATGTAAGTGAGTTTTTTAATCATAAATATATAATATAGTTTCACCTTATAATATAATAAAATATAATAAGGTTACCATGGGGTTACTTAATATAACCTGAACAATGTAAGTTATGAACATGTTTACATTGAATGGAAAGGAAATTTAGTTTTCTGTTTGTCAAGTTTAAGTCAAAGAAGTTGGATGCATAAATAGGGTAAAAAATTATTTGGCATAAATTATTAGGCATATGACATGTTTTGGGTAGGAACATCTACTTACAACTCTGTCACATCCTCAAGGACCATGTCTGATTAAAAGAGTCAAGAAAATGAAAAACACCACAAAGAATGCATTACACTATGAAATCAGAATCTTTAGTACATTCCTGCCACACTCTTTGAATTCAATGCACCTTCTCTTTCTTTACATCATGTCAGCAGAATTGCTGCAGAGGTAATTTGCTTTTTATTTCACTTAATTAAAACAGTAACAACAATGGCATTGTAACAAATGTAAGAGTCTCTTACATTTACAGGACAAATAAGTGAATGTGTACCTGTATTATTGGCTACTTGTATTTTGCTCAATTAAAGGAGAACTCCGGTCAATTTTAACATTGAGCTCATTTTTTTGTACATTTGGAGTGCTGTCAGTACAGACAAAAACGACAAAAATCGGTGTTCGCGCGCGATCATTGGTAACTAATATAACTAATGATCGCGCGCGTTAACTCGACAATCGACTACTGTGGACTTCGAACGAAAACAGGAAGTAAATACAGGTATGTGAGCTGGCTGAATTAACATCATTTTTATTAATATCTTGCACATCTACTGCAGTCAGATTGACCGTGGTCACTCTTAATAACACCACTCACATGGCTGTGCACTTGTAATGACATATTAAGTTTGTTAAGAGGCTAAAAGCAGGTTTAGAACTTGCCCCATTGAAGTCAACAGGGTGCGAATTTTAAAAAGAGGATAACACGGTGTAGGCAACACCGATTTTTGTCGTTTTTGTCTGTACTGACAGCACTCCAAATGTACAAAAAAATGAGCTCAATGTTAAAATTGACCGGAGTTCTAAAATATTAACCATCACAAATATGTGTCAGCGGTTTCCCCAGCAGTTAAAGGATACTGACAAAGTCGTCGAACCCGAGCAGAGTTCCCACAATCTCTTTATCGTTCTTCATGACGATGTGAATCCGAGAGCCAATGCATTTATCCACCAGCTCTGAAAAGACATCATACAAGTCATGACAAACACAATCAAAGACAACTGAAGCAGTGTGAGACTGAGGCTGTGTGATGTTTGCAGTATGCAATGCATACTGTTAAGAATGTGTAAAAGCTACCAGATGCAAAGACGCACATTATCTCACAACACAATGTGTTTGACTTTCCGAAACGGTGAATAATAAAGCAGTTATATCGGCTGTCACGGTTACGCCTATAGTTCAAAGGGTTTATGAACTGCAAATGTATAATTTAATCTTCAACAAGTTTGACATTAATACTAATTTAAAGTTAATTATATTTGGAGTTTGCAACCAAAAACTGCTGTATTATTAGAGAAGTCACAGACAATTTTGTGACAAGGTGGTGCGTGTGATATGACAATATTAGATTGTGAATGGTTAAAATGTCTCGAACGAGACCCGCCTTTACAGAGAGATCTAGTATCGTGCTACATCGTGCACATTCTATCAGTAGCAGTTTTAAGGCTTTCGTCGACGGTCCAACCTGTATGTGTGAGTAGGCTATGTGACAAATTCAAATCTCCTATTTAGCAACATGGATGAAAGCACAGAGTTTTAGGATAGGGAGAAATTGTAGGATAGGGGTCCCTCGCATGACGATGATCATATTTGGGGGTCCGTGGCATCTAAAAGATTGAAAACCCCTGCTCTAGCATATGTGCAAAAAAAAAGAAAAGAAAAAAAAGTATACTTTGGGCTTTAGAGCTCCAACTGGGACAGGGCCCATGAAGGGGCATTCATCATGTCATGCATTTAAGATGGAAACATAAAATAGGCTAGACAGCCCAAATAAAACAAATTAATTATATTACGAACAATAAACTAAAATAAGTAGCCTACATCTGAATTCAAAATTGAATATTATAAATTTGTCATCACTTATTTATACGTGCGTGGTATCAAAACTAAGTACCGGTATGTTTGTTAAATAACGAAAAATCGCATCTCTAAAAATGACTGCAATTTGCAAAATCATTCATACAGAATTGCATTTTACAATGTTTCGAATCAACACGCCCCTTGCAACTTCAAAGCTCAGCAACTGGTCGTCTATCATCTAGAATTCTGAGTTTACCCACTTGTAAAACTTTAGTCATGTTGACGCTTGGTCACACATGTGCTTGTAACTCGTAATTCATATACTTAAAAGAATGAAATAGCCTAATTATGAATGAGGCTATGGGTGCGAATTCGGACAGTCACAGACACGGTGATGCAGGCACTTTAACAGAATTCACCCATACTGACTGTAGGGTCTGATTTCAGTTTATATCCTACGATTCATTTGAATTATATCAAATGTTTCAACGATTATTCCTATAAACCGTTTGTGTACACGTGTGTCCAATACAATTAAAAGTACTAAGGTTTGAATGCGACTTACATGGAACTCTATGCTCCCTACTACAACAACTAAAAACTTAATCCAACAAAGCAAACAATCAATTAAAACGAGAGTCGCACATACCGAGAGGTAAAAGCTGCGAGGGATTTGTCGTTGCTACTGCCGCCATTTTGATATTAGACCTGAATAATCGGTCACCGGAAACGAATGACAGACACGATAAATCGATGTCAGATAGTTTGAAACGCGCTTGGCTGGTACAAACCCCAGAGCCGTACCCTGGTACTAACCAGCAAGAGCAGGTGCTGCGGCTCTTCCGAAGTTTGAGTTCGTCGTTATGTCATTAGCAAACATTCTCCAATACCGGTAGCATTTTTTTGTATGCATTTGTCTCCATAGTTCGTTGTTTTGTGTTTTCACCTGTACAAGACGACACTGTTCAGTTGTAGTATTTTTTTAATTTACAATTCATCACTTTAGTTTGCACTACTTACAAATTAATTGTGGCCAAAAGCGTCTGCTAAATTAATGATACTGTAATGTAATCTGTGTAATTTATTCATGAACTGTAATGTGCATGGTGCCTATAATTTTTGACTTCTTCAATGAAATGTAAAGTCATTTGGCCTTCCATCAAGAGCAGGCTGCATGTCTTGTCTCTTGACCTTTGAGATACACTGTTATTTATTGTAATACAGAAATGCTGCTGCCATCTATTGAGTTTTACTCAGTATGAACTTTTCAATGATATTGAAAAAAGATATT